AGCATAATAGTTTTTAAGATCACGAACTCGATCCATCCTGACCATCTAATTGGTACTGAATTACGGTACAATTTGTGAATAGCCATTCGACCTTTCACAACATAGAATATCTTAAAAATAATTCTAACTGTTCCACGTAAGTGAATTTTCCAAATAACCAAATTTTCCACATAACCAAATCTTACCCTTTAAACTCTAAAACTTTTATGTTTTAAGTTGCAATCTTTTACAAATCTCTCTTTGCCCTCAAACCAAAGATCTTGGATGTGAATAACCTTTTCTTGATAACTCTTTCAGCTGTGTGAAGAATATGCTCTTCAGAACATCACAATAATGCACAACTATGAGGAAGGAGAACTCTGTCCTAGATGAAAGGACCATAAGGGCTCCTTCTCACCTGGGCTTGAAAAGGCCACATCTGAAATGTACAGATGTAAAAAAAGCTTCACATAGTAGAAATTGAAGACAGAATTTAGCATTTGTCTCTAACGTTATCATAGAATATGCCCAAGCAATGGGTTTGATACTTAAAAGTACCACTTTCCATGCAAAGGAATTCTTTTTTTTTGTTTAAAAAAGAAAAAGGAAATGGTTAAAATTCACTGTTTGCATACAATAGCTGATGGGTGGCAAAATTCCACTGCAGACTAGTTAATTTTAGTTAAATAAGTCTAAAACCACTAGCTGTGAATATGTAACCAGATTTAACGTTTTACTTTCTTATTCATACACTCAGTAATTTTTGAGATGTTGCCAGGAACCCTAACTTGGACAGAGTACAACTCTACTTGAATATATGTTTAATATCTCTTTTAACTTATAAAAGTGAGATTTACCCAAGAGTTTGGACATGCTTAACTAGGGGCCAAGGAGATGGGTTTATGGCATTATTACCCTTCCTTCTTGGAAGGGCGCAACAGAAAAGGAACAACAAGGTGACATCCTTTAGCTAAAGTCAGAGAGAAGGAAGGAAGCGAGCCCTTCATCTTAGTATAAAGTCCACTCAGTAGTACAGGCTCGCACGGGAAGATTTACTCTTGATCTTCTCCTGACAGACTGTGTAACTTTGGGCCAAAAAACATACCTAAGATGCATCTAGAAATCACACATTCTGGTCCTTGCTCTGATGTAGATGTCCCTCTTAAATCTGGCCTGTTGCCTTACCCTTTCAGTGACTCCATTTCCCCAACTGAAAACAGGAAAAGGTTCACCAGGTAAGAGGTAGGTATACATCATCTTCCTTTTAATCTTGACTATGGTTTTAAGATAACACTGTGATTTTCCTCTTTTGTCCCTGCCTTACTGGAATATCTGTCCAGGTCTCCACAATCTTACTGAATCAGAAAACAGACAAATATTCAGATAACTGGAGAGATGTTACTTGCTTAAATAATCCTTGGGAATTAAGCAGGCACTGCAGTCTGTATTACTCAATTTCTCAGGGAAGCAGAGGGCCAGTTAGAAGTGGGGAGTGGGCATTTGGCTCAAATGATCAAATTACCTAAGTCCCTGAGTTTCACTTTGCATCTAGTAGATACAAGAAGGATTCTAATGCTACAGGAAGTAGGGCCCTAGAATTATCAAAAGGGCTTATGAAACCCATATGCAGACTGTCAACAAAATAAAGAATATTTTGCCCGTCTGTGTACTAGTAGTCTTAAAATGTTTGTAGATTCTGCTGTAATGATAAAACATAAATCTGAATTTTTTTTTTTTTATCATTATGCAGTGCTCAAACACTTGAAAAATACAAGTACTATTATGGAGAGGCTAGCCAACATTTTCGGCTTTAAAGGTAATTCTGAGATTTGAAAAAGCTGGGAATGAGTGGTGAAGACCTCACTCTAGGGAGTTGCTTTCACCATGAGAAGGAAGACAGAGGCTGGAGGTCACTGGGATTCTAAGAGGGCCCAAAAGAAGGGAGTCAGTAGAACCAAAAGCCAAGATACAAATTTAGCCCACCAAAATCTAGACACTCTTCTTTTCCTTAGTTCTATTTCAGGCATGCTAAAACAAGAAGTATGCCACATCTTCTGAACTGATCTATCATTAAGTCAGAAGGTAGGTATTATAAACTTAGAATTTTGCAGAGTCATAAACTCGCTGAGTTGAGCTCAAAGTTTGCTTTTTGCTGGGAAAGATTTGCCCTGAGCTAACATCTGTTGCTAATGTTCCTCTTGTTTTGTTTTTTTCCCCCTCCCCAAAGCCCCAGTATGTAGTTGTATATTCTAGTTCTAAGTCCTTCTGGCTCTTCTGTGCGAGCCACGGCCACAGCATGGCTACTGAAAGATGAGTGGTGTGGTTCCGTGCCCAGGAACCAAACCTGGGCCCAAAGTGGAGGGCACCGAACTTTAACCACTAGACCATCAGGGCTGCTCTTGCTGAGTTGAGCTCAAGTTTTTAAAAAAGAATTTGAGTTAAGCACCCACCCTGTCTGAAACGCATGAATATAAGGTTTTAATAACATTATGAAAAGCTCTATAGCCTGAACTTCTCTTTGTTTATATATATTGAGGGGGAAGTAAAATATTCCTTATTTCCATCTGCAAAAGGAACTATCAATATTTTGCTTTAGTTTATTGCCATCATAATAAATACTTCTTTCAGTAAGCATCAAACTGAAAATCACCAGTCACAATTTTTTTCTTTTCTTTTTTTTTTGAGGAAGATTAGCCCTGAGCTAACTGCTGCCAATCCTCCTCTTTTTGCTGAGGAAGACTGGCCCTGAGCTAACATCCACGTCCATCTTCCTCTACTTTATATGTGGGACACCTACCACAGCATGGCATGCCAAGTGGTGCCATGTCAGCCCCCGGGACCCGAACCAGTGAACCCTGGGCCTCCAAAGCAGAACGTGCGCACTTAACCGCTGCATCACTGGGCCAGCCCCACCAGTCACAATTTTTTTAAGTCACCACTACTTTCTAAAAACACTCCTTACCTGATTTTACTATAGCAACAAAACACAAAAGATCAAGAACATTATCTCTTTAAATGCAGGGACAAAGGACTTCTGAAACTCGTTCTTCTGTACCATAAAATGTTTTATACAGAAGAGTTTAAAAGTAGCAAAATGGTGTAATGATTAGGCTGGGCAGGTGAACTAAATACCAGTGAATTATTAAATGAAAACCTGAAACCCTCCTTTTAGAATCAACTTGGGTGGTAATTCATTAACCTACTACTAAATCAAATAATATTAATGTTGCTCAAGAGGCTGCTTATGATTGCTTCTAAGCTACGACTAAGACTCTCAAAGGATGACCGAGACCTGTCAAAGCAGGGCTGAAAACTAACATGTCTTTTTCAATACAATTTCTGTTCAAGATTTTTCCAGGGAAAAAAAAATTTCCCCAAATAGTGTCTTTAAAAAGAACCCACTAGGGGCTGGCCTTGGTGGTGCAGCAGTCAAGTTCGCACATTCTGCTTCAGTGGCCCAGGGTTCACCAGTTCAGATCCTGGATGTGGACCTATGCATCGCTTGGCAAGCCATGCTGGGGCAGGTGTCCCACATATAAAGTAGAGGAAGATGGGCACGGATGTTAGCTCAGGGCCAGTCTTCCTCAGCAAAAAGAGGAGGATTGGCAGTAGATGTTAGCTCAGGGCTAATCTTCCTCAAAAAAAAAAAAAAAAAAACCACTAATATGAAAAGGCTTAAAGCCTGTTTTGGGGGGGGGAGGGTATGGTTTTGACATTTTAAATTATCAGTAATTTCAATTCTTTGGATCCTCCTCTCTCTTTTTGAGAATGTTACAGAACGTTTCAATGCACTTTCCCATTTGATTTGGAGTCAAAATGAGCTATTTAATATCCTTATAAGTATGGCACCAGAAAAAAATGTACATATATATTTAAATGAGCTATTTGCCATGGAGAAAAAAGTCAGCACTTTCCACCTTGCGGATCAGCAACTATGGAAGATGAGTCTCTTGAAGGTCAGATGCATGATTCTAGCCCTTCATCTTCTGCAAATCGACATCAGCAAATCTGAAATCCCATCCTCTCTCTTTCCAAAGAGCTCTATCTGTAGTGACTTATTTTTAAATTAAGATAGTTGGTTTGAAGTTGTTTTCTTTTGGCTCTGGACTAATATCTCCACCTGAATATTGACAACTAGGGCAGTAGACGCTTTATAGTGGACCTAGTTTTCTCCCGTTTTAACCTGGCAATAAAATGTAGATCAGTAGCATTTTGTCTTTTAGTACACCTGGATTCAGAAGAAAGGGATTTGTGATTTTACCATTCCCCTTTTAGTATGATTATTACTTTCCAACACCTTTATTCCTTTTACATTTATCGGCTGGCATTCTACTTTAAGAGAGAGCCCTGCTGTCTTCTGTTAGCTGTACCTTTACCTTCACATCAAGGTTGAAAACACGGACGTTCTGGTTTGTCACCCTATTTAAGAGTTTCCGTGTTTTGTCTGCATGATGATGGTAAAAGCTGCAACCCACGAGCAGCGGTTACCGTCCCGTCTGTGGGGAAAAGCGTTCACCGCCCTGCCGGTCATCAAAGGCTAGAGCTGCCTTCGTTCTCTTCTCTCCAGGTACAACGTCGTGACCTACATTCTTAACTTGCGGTCTATGAACCTTTTAGAAATTGCACGCAGAAATGCTTGCAATTTTTCTTTTCTAAGGAGATAGGTTCAACTGCATCCTCCCCGTCCCCAGATTCTCAGGTACGTCTGGGGCCCGCCGTTTTTAGGGTGAACGAGTACAACTCCCAGAGGATTGGAGGTGAGGGCTCAGATGTCAAGGAGAAAACTGCTAACAGCCCTAAACTCCTCACCCACCACTGATTTCCCGGCGTCAACGAGATCAAATGTGGGAGTCAGAAGACCCGAAGGGGCCGGCGGGGCAGCGGACCTCGCGCTCCCGGCACCCTTCGCGCCCCGCGCCCGCACGAAGGACGCCCCACGACAACATCCCACTGCTCCGAGGCCGGGCTCCCGCCCCTCACGCTCGCGCAACCTGTCCACTGGCCGGCCGCCCGACACCCACCACAAGCGCCGCGGAGGCCACCACCTCCAAGACCCAGCGTTCGCAGCGCACTCCCAGAAACGACCCAACGCAGGAGAGGGCGGGGCCTTCGGCCGCACCCCTTCGCCGTTCCCCGCCTCCTTTGTTTCTTCCGGATCCGCCATTGGCTGCTTGTCCCCGAGACCGGGCGAACCCGCGGCCTGCATTGAGACGCGATTGGACGACATCGCTGCCGCTCGGCCGGCAGCCCACTCTCCATTGGTCGAGGCGCCGCCGGGGGTTTGAATCGCAGCCCCGGCCGGGGAGGGTCCTGCCAAAGTGCCACGTTGGGCCCGGCTGCGACGTGAGGAGCCGGCTCCGGGCGCCAGCCGGGGCGCTCGCGCCATTGGGGCGGGTGGGCGGCGCGAGGCGAGTCGGGAAGCGGGTCCGCGGCGGGTGGCTCTGGTGAAGGCGGCGGGACGGAGCCCGGGCGGCGGCGCGTCCCACCCGAGGGCGGCTCTGGCTGAGGGCGGAGGGGCAGGCGGAGCGCCCGGGGCAGCGGCTGAGGCGGGACGGCGGCGGCGGCGGCGGGGACCGCTGTCCCTGGAAGAGCCGGCCGAGATGCTGGCGGAAAACCTGGTCGAGGAGTTTGAGATGAAGGAGGACGAGCCGTGGTACGACCACCAGGACCTCCAGCAAGGTGAGGGCGCAGTCGCCCCGCAGACGACGCGCGGGCGGCCTGGCCGAGGAGGCTCCTCCTGGGCGCGAAACTGTTAAAAAGTTGCTTTTGCTGGAGGCTGCCAGGTGCCAGGTACGGGGAGAGGCTGGCGCTCACCTGGCGTTGGGATGGGCTGTGCCTGCCCATCGCGCCGGGGAGAATCATCTGTGCGGGGCCGGGGCGGGCTTGTGCTCGGTGATCCTCATCAGCACCACTGCGCGCCGAGCGCTAACTATGCACCAGGCACTGTTTGAAGCGCTTTCCCCGGCGTCGCTGATCTAATCCTTAGAGCGTTCCTCGGAGGCAGGGGGGACCCGGAGCCGGCTCGGGCTGCGGCCTCTCCGCCGCTGGGAGTCATCGCAGCCCGGGCCGGGCGGGAGCGGCTGCAGGGGGCAGGTGTAGCGGGGCCATGTGGCTTGTGCCTAGCCGTTTGCACACATGCCGTCCGCACAACGGCTCTGTTGGTGAGAGAGTGACTTTTAGCATCCCCATTTTCCAGACGGGGAAAGCGGGGGCTAAAACGGCTAAGTGACTTCGCTCGAGTTAAGCGTGGGAGCCGGTATTTTTGGAGTCACACCCTCAGAATGAGGAGTGCCCAAACGCTATCTGTTCTTTTACCACCCGGTTTACAGGTTCTTCCGTTGAGTGTTAGAGAATTGCTTAGGCATAGTTCAGATGCCGAATAAAATGACTCCGGGGCCCTTCTACCCCGACCACTCCTTCAGTTCGCGCTGGAGCTTTTGAGTTAAAAACAAGCGTTTGGCTCTTGGCCTGCCTTGGATTTCTTGTTGACGCTGTCTCTAGAGAAAAACCTTAGAGCAGGCCTCTTTTTTTTTTTTTTTTTTTTTGCGTATTAATAGCAGGGACTTGCAGTCCGGGGAACACTTTTTATGTGCCAGACACCGACTGGCCCTTACAACAGGTGCTCACTTAATCCTCCCAACAACTCGGGAGGTAGAAGTAGATACTGTTATCAGGGAGCTAGGATTCCACTTCAGACTCCAGCGCCAACTTCCTTAAGCACCATCCTGAACGCTGAATACTCCTCAGGAATTTCTTCAGGCATCTTCTGTTTCTGCGATTCTGTGTCAATCAATTTTTCCACCTCCAAACTTGCACTGAAAATTAGCATCTCATTTAGTTGAATATTAAATGACCATGATGTTTGTTCAGGCTAACCATTGAACTTGGGGGCGGAAAAAGAATGTAGGCTTAAATGACTCATACTCAGAAAAGGAAAATAAAACAAGTACCTCTTTTGGGGGAAGATGATTTTTTAAATCAGTATGCTGTGGACGGTAACCGACATCAAAGTTATTCACCGTTACGCTTTTATAGTCTAAGCTGTTTCGTGGCTGTGGCACAGAATTTGCCATCATGTTCTCTAAGTCCGCAAGAAAGATTTGTCTTACTTTTTAACAAACCCGTTTTCAGAATTCCCTGTAAGGATTGATGGCCTAGTTTGATGCTTTCTCCAGGGTTAATGGAGCAACCACTGTGCAGTTGCAACATTTCCCTATAATAAATTAAACAGTTTGCAGAAGCAAAGCTAAATATTTTTCTTTCCTGCGTTTAAGAAGCCTAGATCCCTACAGGCTCCTTGTTTTGAATCCAGCGAAATACTTGACACATAATAGAAGCCCAATTTTAGTATTTGTTGAACTGAACCGAGGCACTCACACAGGCTTACTGGTTTCATGGCTCTCTTCCATCAGGTGCCTTTGTCCACACTACACTTTCCCCCTGTGGGAGATTGTTAGAAACAACCATTTGTAATACTTCAATCTACTGAGAAGCAAATGCAAGGTGGTGGGGTTTCATGTGGAACTCATTAATCTCTGATCAAAACGAAGTCATTAGGTGTTCAAGTTTAATGAAACCTTAAAGAGCACAGGTCTCAACCTCCTTAATGTTAATTTGCATTTGGAATTTGTTGTATGCTTTTCAAAGGACTTTTACATCCATTATCACGATGGACTTTGACATAACCCTGTCTGTCATAACCAAGTGCGTGGGGTAAGAAGAGATGTGAAATTCTAACAATCATAACTTACGAATATGGCCTGTAGAATGAAGGCTGCAGTGTGAATAAAAGGATATCTTTGTCCCAATTTTGTTAAAATATATATTAAAGAACTCCTAAACTTCTAATGGATTTAAATTTTTGTTAATTTCTCAAAAATTTATTATCTGCTCTATGCCAGGTCTTCATGTAGGCACTGGGGCCACAAGTGCCTATCCACAAGCTAGGATAGTCAGGGTCCTCCTCATGGAGTTGACAGTCTGGGCATCTGTTGACTAGAGAAGCCTGGAGATGCTGCCTCCTGGTATGTGCCCACTACAGCACCTGGCATATGTGGTAGGCCCTCAGTAGATATTTTCTACTGAGTAAAGTGTCAGAATTGTCCTGTGAAACAGATTGATAAGCAAATGTAGTGGGATTTTATCAAGTGCAGATATCCATCTGCTCATTTTTTACATCCTCACTATTAATTTACTGAGCAAGCCCTGTTTGAGAGAGCTGCTAAAACAACTTTTTCAGATCTGTTCTCAAAGTCACAGAAGTACAAATCTTTTCCTTTTGCAGTAGAAGTATTATTTAAGTAGATTGAATCTTTGTATCAAAGCTTGCTGGCACATTCTTTTTTTAAAATTGCTGAAAAATTCTACCCTCAGAAGCTCTGGTCTACCATTCATACCTTGTTAGAAACGTGTAAAGCTGTGTGCAGGCAGAAGGAGAGAACCCATTGCTTTCACAAAACACTTTGATGAAGAGACTGTCTTTTGTCAGAGGGCTGAGTTGGCACAGTAAGAATGCTGACAGTGATCTCTGAGTAAGATCTTTTCTGGGACAGCAGGAGCCTTCTGTGCAGGTAATAATGGTGCTCGCTTTGAAATGTGCCCCTGAGAACAAGGTGGAAAGACTTCAGAGACTGGGTTTTCTTTTAGACGAGCTGCTATTATAATTGTTGTTTAGAGAGCTGTGCAAGCTTAGAATAAGGATTCAGGTTTCTCCACTGTAGATCAGCAAATGAAATCTTAGTTTAGAGGAATCCTAGGATTTCTGCTTCTTTTCAAGATGAGTACATTTTCCTTGTGTGCAACTAATTTGCTGCATCACTGCTTAGAGGGTCGTTAAAACTGACATTGTCATTTTTCTTGGTGTTTATGTTCAGGCTTTTTGCTTTCCCAATTATAGTAACGTTGGCAACAGGAGGTACACAGAAGCATCACCGAATGACGCATTTGACTTTTGTAATAGGAAAAGCTTTCAGCCTTAGTCTTACTGAATTACTGCTGCCGACTACAGCTAACCTGGGAATATGTTCTCCTCATGTTTTTTTGGAAAAACTGCAGTAAAATAAGAAAAACTAATAGCAGTGGGATTTAAAGGTTTCAGAATTCTGGAAAAAAGATTCTTTTAAAAAAATCTCTCCAACTACTAGAGCTAATTTTCAGCATAGGGCTGAGTGGAGTGTCTGTTTAAAGCTAACTGTTTACGCTGTTAAAATAGATTATTACCACTTGCAAAGACTGATTAGTGATAGAATATTAAACTTGTGGAAGTATTGATAGGTTGCAATTCTCAAGCCTACAGTAAATCTGTGGTATTTTTAGTAGCAGCTTAGGCCAGTTCAACAGGATTTAGAAGAGACAATGTCTTAATGAAAATCCTTATTGGAAAATAGAACGGGTACATAAGGCTTCAAAACGATATTGTTTCCTTTTCTTCTGTGCCTTAATTAAAAGTATAATAGTAAGGGACATTGAATACTCTCCCATTCCCCCCTGCTAATTATTTAGAAAACTTTTTTGGGCTTACTGCCAGCTTTTGGCTCCTTTTGGTTATGGAAGGCAGACGCTACACAACAGGAAACAAACTTTTTTTAAAGACCAAAAAAAGACCCTTTACCAGATGAAGTAATATCCTTTTATACCGTGTGACTTCACAGGCACTTTCTTGTAGTTGAGACCTGTCTTACCAGAATTCTATCCTAAACATCCTATGAAATATTTAGGAGACTGAGACTTCGGGAGATAAGGACGAGTCTCAAATTCTTTTCTGTTTACTTTTTACTAGAGGAGTGCTATACTTGGCATCTCTTTCTGCAGCAGCAGAAAAGCTGCTCCTGGCTGAGTATTAAGTGACATAGGTAGTTTCACAACTGAATGAAAGTAGTTGATGATGGTTTGAAGTTAGTCTTCATTCTGGAAAAGGTTTCAGCTCAGGTTTTGATTGCTAGTTGAGAATATCTTTGGTGAATCTCTGGTCCTTCCCAAAGAGGAATTACTCACCAGTTTACAACAGGCCAGGAGAGGCTTAAGTCATGTCTAGGTAATGTATATATGCTTTGTCTTTAATACAGTGTGGTGGCTTGGCTTCTGTGTGGGGCTGTGTATACACATTACATACCCTGCGTGTACAAAATAATTATATCTGG